GAGAGAGAGAGAGAGAGAGAGAGAGAGAGAGAGAGAGAGAGAGAGAGAGAGAGAGAGAGAGAGAGAGAGAGAGAGAGAAATGGTGTCCCATGCACTGGCGCCCAAAATGACGAAGGAGAATCTGGATGGTGAACTCAGAGGAGCACGGGGAGGAAGTGGTGGCGGCTGATGAGCAGAAAAAGGCTGCTGATGAGGAGCAGGTGTCTAAGGCCACGGGTGTAGCCGCGGCGGGCATGTGCTTGTGTATATATAAAAGAATGAGAAACAGGAATGGTTTCAGTCTGCTCTTCATATTTGTCTTCCATATTTTTCTCATTTTTTCCGCAAAGTGTGCTCTTTGAGTTCATAACTTCATAGGTATGTGTGAGAATATATATGTAGGAACTCCCTTTGAGAGCTGAGCCTTGTGATCTTCATCGACTAGCCTTAACTCATCCCCAACTGATTGTGTGTGTGTGTGTGTGTGTGTGTGTGTGTGTGTGTGTGTGTGTGTTCGCGCGCGCGCGCGCGTTTTTTCCCTTTTTCATTTCCGGTCCCTTGCTTCCCGTTGAAATTATACAGTTGAATTTGTAGGAACTGTGAACATGAGGTGGCGGGGAGGAGAACGGCGAGGTTCTGTGAGAATAAACACCAGAATAGGTGCTCTGACTACCATTGCCCCCCAAGTAGAAGGCATGGTTATTGTCATCATATCCTGTACAACTTTTACGCCAGACAAGGCTTTGATGACCATCAGAGTTCGCAACCAGGATATTTAGGAATAACTGTAACTAAACTAACCACACACTTTTTCAAAACCAACCAACCGTAACCATTGTATACCAGGCCTACCACACCTTTACCTACCTCCAACTGATCGAAAAAAAAATATGGGTAACTGTACCCGCCCATACCTGAACCTCTGCAGACTGTAACTGCTCGTACCCGCCCTTTTTTTTTTTTTTTAACCACCCATTGCTAACTGATCCAAAAAAAAAAACGGGTAACTGTACCCGCCCATACCTGAACCTCTGCAGACTGTAACTGCCCGTACCCGCCCTTGTTTTTTTCCACGTGTCCTGAATCCCGAATGCAAAGATCTCAATCGCCTCAGTCTCCACGTGTCACACCTGCAAACCCGACGAAGGGGAGCTGTGGAGGATGGGGACGACAACGGGCGGCCACAAGGACGAGGACGACAACTGGCGGCAACAGTGGGTGGCGGCGTCGATGTTCGGGTAGCAGCGCGACCGTCAAATGGTTGGGCGCCAGTCGACTAGTCGGGGTAGTCCGAGACAATGGCGGGCTAGGAATTGGGAATGAATGTGGATGTAGAACATGGGTAYATTAGCACATGAAACCCTTTTTGTTTTTTGCGAAGGGGTGGCCGACTCGAAAACCCAAAATCGAAGTCGGCCAACGGCTCGAAACATTTTACACTCCGGCCGCCGGTGAGAATCCCAAGGAGGCAGCGAAAACCAAAAAAAAAAGGGCCTATGACTTCACATGGTGGGAAAGGGTGGGGAGGGAAGGGCTGGGAGGGGGGCAGGTGGGAATAGGTGTAGTGATCCACGGTTACCCGAGTGGATCCTCTACCCGCCCGTACCCGCCCTCGATTTTTTTTCTTGCTGCCCATACTTGTCCATACCGGTTTGCGGGCCTATGTTTGGCTGGCCCTACCTACCCATCCAATCCATAAATGCTAACTGTGCCTACCCGTCAACTTCAATAATAATAAAAAATGCCCGCCCATAACCAATGCCCCCTTCAGAAAGGGGCACCCACACCTACCCGTGACCTGGCGGTTACTGTTGGGTGCGGTCGGGTACGGGTAACGGTTACCCGTTTGCGCTCTCTGATGACCATGCCTTTTCTTCYGGGGAGGCAGCCAGCAGCATGTTGTTCATTCCACAGTACATGCCTTAATTACGTCCATTTTGAATCCCCTTTTCCGTTTTGTAAAAGGGGGTGACTTTGACGGACTGCTTCGTCAGACTGTCATGATCTCATCAGGACTGTGAACCCAGAGAGTCTGCCCAGGATGCAGTTGATTGATGGATAAGGAGCATTAAGAACTCACCATCTTGCCCAAAGTTAGCGATACCYTTGAGGAAAGTGGTCGACTTCACTTACGCCAACCCTGCAACCCTAGCCGACTGTCAAATTCAAACCCCTGTCAATAACGGCAGCAAGTCCGGGAAACCGAGTGTATAGAACCCACTACCTATGTCTGGTATGTACTACCCCCACAGTGGTTTATCATGCTGCTTCATGCATAACTTTTTTGTGTAAGACATCTCTCGCTTGGTGGGGGGTGTTTTCTTTTGTCGGATATAGACATAAGAATGCCGAAAAAGTTGGAAAGCAGACAATTGATTATCTCCCAGACGTGCACATGCAATTTTCGGATGCTATAAATGAAAGGTTAAAATAAATGGAAAGATAGTGTAAGGCATTCAAGACGGAGAGGCAAGTTCCACTTACATGCAGCCGATTGTAGAAGGTTCAGCGCTATGTGTCGTGATGTCATCCCATGATCGATCGGCCATAGATCTATCTTTATCTCTAACATCAGTGTTAAGAACTATATGCCTTCCAACCGTCGAACAGCCAAAGATCTATCTTTAGCTCTAATATAAGTTCAGCTATCTACAATGACATGTGAAGCATAGTCATGGCCCTTGTAGCAAACAATGCTAAATCCATGACGCTATTTTTACTGCTGCTTGTCTCTCTCCTTTGTCTGCAGGATCATATGTTACACATGAAACAAAGCATTTTCTCTACTTCTATATGGGACAGATGGCAGTTCTATTGTTCAAGTCAGGATGACACGACTTCAGGAGAGTGTCTTTGTGCCGCTGCTGTTGATGGCGAAGGACATGGTTGAGCAAATGTTTCACCAATTAATGTCAACCACAAGTGCTCAAATTGAGTGGTAGGAGGAGGATAAACAGGCGAGGAAGGCAGAGATGATGAGGGAGTGGGGGCAAGTGAGCAATCGTCGCAGTGGGGCGTACAAGACATGGCAGTTTTACTGTTCATCTCAGTATCAGGATGATCCTAGCATCAYCCTGCATGTTTATCGAGTCCTTGTCCTGCTGTTGATGCTGCATTTGCAGGACATTGTTGAGGAAATGGTACCAGCAGCCAGGACAAATGTGTGCGAAAGGGGTGGGTGAGTACAAACAGGAGACAAATGGGTAGGGTAAGCAAAGGTGGAGGGCACAAAGTGGCAGATGGATGGAGGGAGGGGAGGCAGGTACACGGACGTTTCCCAAATGTCCRAAGGGAGGGAATGGAGGAGGGCATGAAGAGGGGTATGGATGCARTGGAGGGCGGGCGAAGGAAATWTTCAAGTGTCCGAACGGGTATGTGCGTACAAAGGGGTGGCAAATGGGTCGGAGGGCGAANGTACAAAGGGGTGGCAAATGGGTCGGAGGGCGAAGGACGGAGGGAACGGGTATGTGGGTACAAAGGGGTGGCAAATGGGTCGGAGGGCGAAGGACGGAGGGAACAAAGGGGTTGGTGGATGGAGGTGAGAAAGGGGGAATGGAATTTCCGAGCGGGTCAAGTAGCAGCAGGTGTTGGGCATCGGGTCTGGCAAATAGTGTGTCACTCATGTCACACTATAGTACATTTCTAACCTAAAACCATGCTAGTGGGTCCAGGCCCCAGGATTCGACGACACACAGGGCGGCACTGTATTGCTGACAGGACCAGCATTCACGAGTAGAACGTGAAGACTGAGTGCCAGTCTATGTTTGTATGCATGCATGTGCATGTGCATGCAGTACGATACAGAGAGATCGGAAGTGGAAGGAGCGGGGGGAGGGTGGCAGAGAGGAGAAACATTTGCGCTTCGCAGGGCTGCATTGGTCGAATGGGGGTGTCACAGAGAAGAGATCGGCACTATCAACCAATGCATGAGTGGGAATGCAAGTGGGCACACAGAGAGAGAGAGAGAGAGAGAGAG